GTGATGGCCAGTCAGTGTGGAAGATGAACAGTTGGAATGAAGCAATCGGCGGAGGGGTGGGGCCAGCAGAACAACCTGCCAGTCAAGAGGCGGGGAAGCCTGGCTGCCACGGCAACAGCAACAGTTGAGGCCCTGGGGCCAAGGCTGGTACTCACAGCATCCCGCCCGGATGGGGCCCGCAGCGCAGGTGTGATGCATCTAACAGGCGTTTTGCCTTGGAGCAGTGGTTCTCAACCTTGGCTGCACATTAGAATAAGGATTTTAAAAAGATTCCCAGGTGATTCTAATGTGCAGCCAAGGTTGAGAACCACTGCCTTGGAGTGAGTTATGATAGCGAGGTGTGCTATGGATGACCCCAGGGGTCCCCTGCTGCACACAGCAAAGCTAACTCTGGGCTAGTGCTTCTAGAGAAAATCACCTACAGAAAAAGTGATTATAAAAAAAAAATCACACGCTCCCAATAAGATTCAAGAAAACCCTCAGCCAATAGCTGCTGCAGAGATAATTGCTCTGAACCTATCAATAAAACTCAGCTGCCCCTCATTGACTGCAAACACCGATTTCTTTCACCCGGGATTATAAGTTGGTGTTCCCGGGCGCACTCCGGCCATTACGGTGATAAACAGTTTGAACCACAACAGGCTCTGACATGTAGATCAATTCCGGGTCCATAAAGAATCTGCACAAGGGGTTCCAGGACAGGAATTTACAGCCACCAGTTTTATTCCCTCTCGCTGCAAAAATTACTTCTGTCAAACACTTAGGAGAGTGAGGAAAAATGTAAAAAAATTAATTTTTCATGGACTATGGGAACAGCCTTTTTCAATGCAGAAGCCCAAGATGAATATGTTTCTGCATTTAAAAAATTACGCCGAGCAGCACGCGGCACTCGGTTGGGGGGACCCCGTCCTCCGCGCTGCCTGCGAGCCCGCAGACGCCAATTTGAAACCCTGAACGGAGCTGTCTGGGTTTTCTCGGAGGGCAGATGCAGGTCTCATGTTAGCAACACCAAATTACATCAGACATTTAATTTTAAACCCCAGGTACTTAAATGCAAAGCCTCACAACAGCAATAGTCATAAAGCAGTGGGGCACGCCGCGCACGGAGCCGATTCCTCCTTCGTCCCCCCTTCATTTACCCAGCGCCTCCTCTTTTGTGCTTTGCGCACTACAAAGTGATCTCCCTCATTAGGAGCTGCTCACAGCTGCTTACAAGACAGACCCCCGGGGGACCTGAGCCTGAGTGGGGAGGACTTGGCAAAGTTCTCTGGAGCCAAAGTCTTAATTCGGTGTGGACCACGGAGCAGAGAAAAATGGCATCCCAATGTTGTTATTATGATGATGTTTTACAATAAAAGCATATTCACTGATTCATGGGCATTTGAATTCAAAAGCTGCTTAGCTTCTCCTGTCCCTGCTGCTAGCACAGTGTAGGCTTTTTATGACTCCAACATCCAAACTGAAGACTAAGGGGAAAAAGATAAAAACAATTTAAAAAAAAAAAAGAGAGAGAGAGAGAGAGGGTGGGGTTTATATCAACTGCTACGTACAAAGGTAGAGCGTGGCAGAAAGCTCTCCGTCCTGCGTCTTTTGTGATTATTTCCCAAGCACGGAAGGGAGTGTTGGTGCCTGAGTTGAGGTCTTGCAGTCCATTCATAAATGCGTTTTCTTGAAGTCGTTCGTCAGGTCCTGTGCCTGGACATTCATTAACAGTGGCTCAGGTCTGGCCCCTTGGCGACTCATGAAGGCAGGGACGGCGCCACCAGGAGGCCAGGACGATAGATACCCTCACCGCAGACAGACAGGGCTTCTCAACCCCCAGGTGTCCTGGAATCACCTATGGGGCTTGGTAACATGCTGTTCCGATCCAGTAAATCTTGGGGGAGCCTGGGACCCCACTTTTCTAGCCAACTTCCAGGGGCTGCCTATGACCATTTGAAAAGCAGGATTTAGAGCAGGGGGGAGGGGGGATGTCCGGCCCGCATGCCATATAAGACTCACAAAATCATTTGGTCAGGCCCTGCTAAGGCACTAGGAGTGAGTTAATTAATTGTTTGACCAAATAGAGCAGGCTAATTTTTAAGTCGGTAATTCTGTATGACCCATAAATAATGTTATAAATATCCAAATGGCCCCTGGCAGAAGAAAGGTTCCCCACCCCTGATTCAGAGGGTGGTTCTCAAACCTTAGCAGGCAGCATCAGTGCACGGAGGGCTTGTTCCCACACAGGTCAGAGGGCCCCTCCCATTTTAAATTCAGTCTGGATGGGACCTAAAGACCTGCATTTCCAGTCTGTCCCCCAGGGGGCGCTGCTGCCGCCTGTCTAGGAAGCACACCATGAGTTGCTCCAGGCGGTGGAGCTAAGGTCTGGAAAGAGGCCACCTGAATTTGCATCCCTGTCCTTATGAGGGTGTGACTTTGGACAAGTGATACTGAATTCTTACGTACCTATCTACCCACCAGTAAAAGGAGCCTGCAACGGTGTCTACTCCCTGGGGATCAAATGACATCATCCACAGGAAATCCTCAATAAATATTAGCTCCTATTACTACCACTGTGGTATCACTGGATTTTTCTATTTAAAATGTCAGCTGTCAGTTACAAGACGATGTTTGGGGCTCTCATTGCTCACCCCTCTCCTCTCGGCTCTCCTGCTGTTGTCCGGTTCACGCTCTCATTTTACTGCAGCTCCTCGGTTCTCCCACCTCCTGGGGCCTCCGCTCCAAGTCTTTGTCCAAATCTTATAATAACTTCCTCCTGTGGCTTTGCACAAAAAAGCCCGCCTGGTTCTTGAAGCTTCGCTCAAGTTTGATGCTCTTTCGTTAGTTTTCCTTGATTAACTCTACCGGCACCATTTCAACCGGCTTTCTCTCAAGTTCCCCATCCATATCCCACAGCAGGCTGGTACCAGGCACAGACTTAGGTTTCTCATCTCCTTGCTCCCTAACATTGGGGAGCCTACCTAGTCTTTAGCAAACATACTACATGAATTAAGAAAGGTGACCCCAGGGCATTAATATATGAGAGATCACTCTGCAAATTAGAAATAGCATTCTTACACAGGTGACCTTGCTCTCCTACAGGTGTTTTATAAATACGTGTGCGATCAACTTCTGTGGGAAGAAACTTCCAATCACACCAAGGTCAGGAAATGGCGTCTTTTCAGGGTTTGGTGGCACAGCCCATGGCACACAGGTGCAGCTAGGTGCAGGGCTATGAAGGCAAGGAACGCAAGCTAGTGAGCCTTTGTCCAGGAAAGAACTGTGTGGAAGCCCAAACAGATTGGATTTTAGATTAATGTGCTGCTTCCAACATCTTTTCTATAAAAATATCCTGAATGTAGGGAAGGCAAAGATTGGGGGTGATGCCCTTTTTTAGAAATTCATTTTTCTAACCTCCCTTCTTCCCAATGGGGAATAACTGTAAGAATAAGACTTCTGTGGCATTTCTGGATTTTTTTCTGTGATCCCCACAGCACCTAGGGGGCAGAACCTAAAACTGTCCCCCTGCAACCCGGCAGTGTTGGTGACTAGAAGGCGGGGCTTGGGGAGGACGAACATTAAGAGTTCCTCCCACCCTCCAAGGTACAAGCCACCTCCACGGAAGGTGGCGACAGAATAACCCCAATCAGCTAGTAATACTAACGCTAAATGAAAAAATCAATGCATTTTCCAAGTATCTGATAATTCAATAATTAAATCCGCGAAGTGCCTGCTCCTTTTAAGATAAGTAATGCCTATAACAATAGAAGATGCTCAGTACGGAAGACACAAACAGGTGTTGTGCTGCGCACCTTGCAACAACGCAAAGGGGGGAAGGACCCCCAGGCCGCAGGTGTGAATGCAGAGGCTCACGGAGGTGAGGGGCCGCCCGAGGCCTCCTGGGCAGCAGGTGGGGCACTGACAGTGGCGCTGATGTGTGACACAGGAAGGCCCCAGGCCTCTCGGGCAGGTGATGGCTGGGAATGCAAGTGCCCCATCACAAGGGAGTCATTTACAATGAGGAGGAGCCTGCGCATCAGGGCTTTCAAGGGACAGTCATGATCTCAGACGAAAGCAGAGAGCCTGGAAGAGCCCCTTCGCAGGGTGAAGGCCACCCCGTCCTCTCCCGCAGCACCAGAGCTGGGTGCTGGCTCGGGGGCGTTCCACTCCAACACCAAGCCGCCGCGTGTCCAGGCCCTCCCTGCCGCGGCCTCCCCATGTCCTCCTCGCTGGGTCCGGGGACGTCTTCCTTTAAGGCCTGGTGTGGAGTCACCAGAATATGGATGGTGTTTACCTGCAGCAGCAGCTGGTGGGTCTACAGGGAAGACCTGGCGCTGAATCTTTTAATTAGAACAAATTATGCTAAAATTACTCGAAAGCCCTGTCTGATAGATGACATACAACGGTGGGAATTCCTTAAACACCAGTGAGCAGGCCACAGGCAAAACGCCACAGGCAGAGCGGATGCAGGAAGCCAGCAGCCCAACGCTGCAGGACTTGATTGGCGCACACCCATCAGGGCAGTGCATGTGTTTCCCAAATAGCTGGGCCCACAGAAAAGGGGGAGACGCTCCAAGATTTCCAGGATATACTGGGAGTATTGGCGAATGACTTGTGCATTTTCCTTTGATGGAAACCCCCCTAAATGATACAAAAGGAGCACTGATGGAGGGAGCCGAGTGCAGAAAGTGAGATCCAGGGCATGAAGTCTGCCGTTATCTCTCAGTTCTGCCGTCACGTGAGCCTCAGGAAGCTGCTTGCCCTGTCTGCCTGCGGCCTCAGTTTCCCAATCTGTCAAGTGGATATGAACAGCTACACCTCCCTGAATCAAAGAGGAACAAATGAGCTGAATGGGCGACACAGCCCATCAAGGAAGACTAGATGTGCGGGGACGACACGTTGCCCCACGTGCTGCTACAGAGCGGAATGCGGAGAGCTCAGGGCGCCGAGTCCAGCCCCTGGCCTATAACAGAAGGCTGTGTGGTGGCCGCGGGTCCGTGGGGCCGTGCCTCTCTTACCACTGCTGATGGCCGAGTTTGCAATGACCGTAGCCTCACTCCACTGGTCGGCACTGGAGACAGAGTAGGACCGCTGCTGCATGCCGTCCGGTCGGCTGTTGAAGGAGCCCAGGCTGATGCCGCTGGCCATCTGAGACCCAGATGCACTAGTGACATTCCCTAGGAATAAACAAGGCGGGTGAACACGCTGTGGACTGCAGACCCCAGAAGCCAGCTCCAGTCAGTCTAAGGGGCCTGCGCACCTGCGCACAGTGGGCCCTGGCGACGAGAGAGCTGTCGTCCTGCTTACGTGGAGGCGGAAGCTTCACACAAAACAATATTCAGAGGAACGAGAGGGTGCAGTGAGCCTTGGGTGCTTGGCAAAGCATGGTGAGGGGCCAACGCCTCAGATGACTGCGCCCGAAGCAATCCCACACAAAGACACCCGGCACAACCGTCTCTAGATGGAGCCCAGGTGCAGACAGGAGACCTCCTTTAGGAAAAAGCCAGCAAGGAGGGCCCTACAGGAGCTGCCGTGTGGTAATGACCACCAAACGGGAGTCAGTTTTGGTGCCAGAGAATTGTGTCCACAGTGAAGATATACTTGACAATCAACACAAACCAACGTTCCTGGATGCATGTGCAAGGAAACCAGGCAAGTTTACCCCTGACCTTGAAAAGATGAGTCAGAGGAAAAACAACCTTAGCCGCTCCATGGCGCACATGGAGGGTGATGAGAAAGTTCCCATTGTAACTTAGGGATTTGCATTAGTTGCTCCACTTCAAAATGAATCACTTTCTGGTGACCCTACTTTTAGGTTCCATGCCTTTCTCTACCACCCCGCCGACCACACCTTGCTGCTAAGTGAGCTTGTCAGCTCTATGTGCAGAGCTTCAAAGGGATTAGGTTTTTTTTTAAACTTTCCTCCAATTGTTTTATTTTTAAAAAATATTTTTATTAGATTTATTGGGTGACATTGGTTAATAGGATCATATAGTTTCAAGTATACATTTCTATGATACAAGATCTGGATATTGCACTGTGTGCCCACCCCCATCCTCCAATTGTTTTACTTTAGAACTAATTAAGTTTTAAATTGTTTTGAAAAAACAACAAAACCTCCTGAACGAAAAGGTGTGGTTTGGGCCTTCTCTTCCCCTGGCGGGTGCTGATCCCCACACCCACTAATCAGAGTTGATTTCGGGATGAGGCTCCTCCCAAACCCCTCCTGGGGCTCCCAGGCCCCCTTCCATTTCCACAGACTTCCTTGCAGACCAAGGCGTCAGGACACTGCTAACATTGTTAGAGTGGATGAGAGTTAAATGAAAAGGTATCGAAGAGGGAAAACAACAATGAGAGGGTACACACAAGCCGGGACCCACTGCTAAGCCAGCCCCCGAGCTCGGACTGTCACCCACCGCTAAGCCACTGTAATGATACAGAAATATAACTATTTAACTGAAAATAGAAAAGTATAAGGGGAAAGAAATAGCTTCTGCCTTAAATATACAGTTTGGAGACACACGACCAGGTACTTGTCTATAAATGTAAATACATAGAGACATGTTTTAAATTGGAGGGAAACCAGTGATCCATAGAGGGGCGCGTGATGAGGTGAAGCCGGGCAGCACGCCACCCAGGGAGGTAGTCGCGGGCCAGCAGGCACACTTTGAGGCATTTCTACCAACTTGAGAAATCCATCAGTCAAACCAACTACCCCCAATGTTTTGTGAATATTTTAACCAACTACCCCCAATGTTTTGTGAATATTTTAATTTTTTTTAAAATAGATTTTTATTGATTTCAGAGAGGGAGAGGGAGAAAGAGATTGAAACATCAACGATGAGGGAGAATCACAGAACAGCTGCCTCCTGCACACTCCACACTGGTGATCAAGCCTGCAACCCGGGCATGTGCCCTGACTGAGAATCGAACTCTGACCTCCTGGTTCATAGGTTGACATTCAACCACTGAGCCACAATGGCCAGGCATGTGAATATTTTAAAAACTATACAGATTTAAAATCTAATTGTAGTATTTCATGTCAGAATTTCTGATGCTTATTTCCTACACACACACACACACACACACACTCACACACACGCGCGCGCGTGCCCAACAAAGGCTCATGGGTAATTTCATTTCTGTTCCTGAATGAAGGTTACTAATTACCTGGTCAGGTAACACTGCCATCAATTCGTTTTTTAAATCTAGACGCATGTGGCAATGCTGACCTGTATATACCACCCAGGGAGTTTTCACTTCTGAGCACCGAAGGGAGATGCTACATCTAAAACCACATTATTCTCTAAGCTCGTTAGGGCTACCATGTTCCTCGAATGGGAAGTCGTTGCCCATGAACAGTTATTAGCTAAGCGGAGGAGCTGGAGTTCCCATTGGTGAAAGAGGCTGACGACTTGCCTGACTTCCTGAGAGCAAAAGGTTTCAAGATCAAGACCACCTGAACTCAGTGGCGCCTAAACGCGGTTCTAAATGCCGCCAGGTTCTCCCTGTGCTGCAGGCGGCCACCATGCTGGGCCAGGCGGAACAGCTGGGGGTCTAGAACCCACGTGGCCGTCAACAGTCAATAAAGACAGGAAGCTTCAAATCGACCAGTTAAATGGAATTCTGACCCCTGATTAGTGAGAAGTGCGTTTAACAAAAGACCTGAGCTCTTGCTATCCAGCCACACTAGCATCACAAGTACGGAGGGCCAGCAGGGCTGGCGTTACAGACCAAAACATGGGTAGGATTGCAAACTGGGAACAGCCTGGCCTAAGTCTATGCCGATCGTGTCCCACTATAAAGAGCAAGGTTTCCTGACCGCAGGTCCTCTCTCCTGCGAAGTAACTGCTGAGTGTGCCGACGTCACCCCTGGGGAACATGGCAATGCGGATGCTCTGGCCACTGCTACTGCTGCCAGGAACTGTCACCTGTCCTTACCCAGGAGTCTCAGAGTCCCAGAAACTGGCAGGCAGGCAGCTCCCCTGCAAGGAGGGTAAGTCAGACCTCACCGTACCTGCCACCTCCTCACAGTGACCTCCTGGACTCCCTTGTCTCACCTCCTTGAACCCCTGCTGGACGGGCACAATGAAGGAGACAGAGTCCCGTCCTTACGGAAGCTACATCTAGTCCAGTGGAAAGTACCAGACAAGTCTGCATGTGGCCAAAATGCCAGGTGAGGACCACAGGAGCCGTGAGAAGGTGTGAGCAGCAGGGCATCATGCCTGCTGGACAGCTCAGGAAAGACTCGTGGATCCCTCTAGACTTTGGAATTGGCCTACCCTATACAGAACAGTATGGAAAGAGGGGATGCTACATTACCCCAGGACAACCCCACTGCTCTCCTAGCTGACTCAACTGATGGGAGGCCTTCACAGAACAGCCCATGTTTCTCTCTCAAGAGTCTTGTTTTTATTTATTTATGCATTTATTTATTCACCCTCACCTGAGGATATATTTTAAAGTAGAGGAGGAAGGGAGGGAGAGACAAAGATAGAGAGACATCAATGAGAGAAAGATTGGTCAGCTGCCTCCCGTATATACCCTGACCAGGGATCAAATCTGCAACCTAGGTATGTGAATTAAGCCAGCAAGCTTTTTGGTGTAAGGGATGACACTCCAACAAACTGAGCCATTGGGCCAGGACTCAAGATTCCTCTTTTTATTTCATATCCTTCAAACTAAAACCATACAGACACGCATAAACAGATCCACCAGAGAACATGTACAAGAATGTTCACAGTGGTATTTAATGGCTGAAATGTCCATCCACCACCGATACCTCTTAGTGTATCCATACGATGGAATGTTACACCCAGTAAGAATGGACTAACTATGACACAGGCCACAAAGGACCACAGAGAGGATGCGGAGCAGAAGAAGACAAATAAGAGAGCACCAACTGCTATGCTCCCATCCAACGGTTCCAGATCAGCAGGCAAAACTCATCCGTAAAGTGAGAAATCAGATGGCCATCACCCTCGAGTGTGTGTGTGTTTGGGGCGAGGTGTGGGCAGTGGCAGGAGGTGGTCCACAGGGCCTTCCTGAGCTGTCGGCCACCTGCTGCTTTCTGATCTGTGCACTGGTCACCTGTGTACTTACTTAGCTGTAACTTAGGATTTTGCACTTTCTTTGTGTACATTATATCGATAACATTTAACACCCCCCCGCCCCCAAAGAAACAAAACAAAACACCACAAGATCATCTGAATGGCTTGTGAATTCAGAGGTTAGGTCAGGAAGTATGAGACGTGGAGTCAGGTCGGGCGGAGACAGTTTCTCCCAAGAATGGCCCAGCCCTACAAAGTATGAGACACTGGTGTCCACAGGAAGCAGATCACAACGGCCCTCTTTGGTATTGTCTCAATATTCCCCCCACAACGCCCCCAATCGATCTGTGTTACTGGGATACACAGGCCGACTTCCTGGCCCATTCCTGAGCTCAGCAACAGTGTCTCCTCAGATACCCCATGGAGCTGGGGCTGCTGGCCGGACTCGCAGGGGGCAGCCCAATTACCATGCTAATCCCGGCCCAGGGCCATCCCTTGATGTGGGCGTGCGTGTGCGCACTGGGCCGCCCTGATTAGCTGCTTCCTTCTGTCAAAAGCCCCAGATTCTTCCCAAAGAATAATTTTAGCTTTCCGCATAGCCCTGAAGTGTACGAGTTGATTTGAAAAGGTACTTACCTCCACCATGTGCTATTTTTCTTTAAACAATTTGCATTTCAAAGTGAATACGGCATTTATATCTGAATGCACACCAGTGTGTTGCCCGAACTGATCTCAAAGGAGCAAGAAGAAGATGCTGGTTTTCTATTGAGCAAGAATGTTTTCATCCACCAAATGACATCAAAGCCAGCGTTCCTCTTTTAAGCGATAGGATTATTATATTAAAAATAGCCTGTTCTGACTTAAAAAAAAAGAAGACTCTGAAATAGGCTTTTCATAGCATTCGAGTAAAGGCTCATCAACAATCATTTCTTTTAAAATACAACACTTTGCTTAATGCCCTGTCTGATTTGGGTCCATCTTCACAAACCAGACATGACCTTGAACTAGGAAACAATAACTGGCATTTGACTTATTGCCTCAAAAAGATCCGTGACTCTCAGCGACAGGTGATACTGAAGTTCATGTACATTGAGATACTCGGGGAGAAAAACCCACTGAGGACTCTA